GTTCCGCTTGGATCGCTCAGAAATGTTTGGAATGCGCAAAAACTAGACAACAGAGGATTACTGTCGCACACTTTAATGACTTCACATAAAATCGGACAGGGGGAAAATAAGCTTGAAAATATAAGGCATTTAGGCAATATTTCATACTCCGATCTGAAAATAATTGAAGTGCCAAACGCAAAAAACGTAATAAAAGCTTAATCCTTGGTCTTCGTGAGATTCAATTTTATTGTCATCAAAATTCTTCCTGGATGATCTAATTTCAGATACTCTAGGATTACAAAGATTCTTAAATACTTCCTTGATTTTTCAAGATAGAGTGGGCGGGGAGCCGACAAAGATTCATACTTCAAAATAACGCATTGCGATGATTACAGACAGCAGACAGTCCCTACCTAAATTTTAATTTTGAACTTGTTCGGATTTAACTTCGACTGCATCGAATATGTTTGAGAAAATACAGGGTGATCCAGAGTTGAACGGCCAAACTGCAGGAGCCGAGGGCCCCTCTTTATATTGAGATTTCGCTTTTTCTTAAATCATTTACGAATTCCGTGCATAAAAGTGAAGGAAAGTATATATTTTCATGAGATTTGGCTCACAACAGTTGCGGAAATGCAGGAAAAACATTTTACTTACTGAATTTTTTTTTTTTTTTGGGGGGGGGGCGTAACTCCGACTGAGGGCATTTTTGGAAAAAAACTTTATACAACAAAAAAGTCTTATTTTGACCCATAGAATACACTCTGGCAGTCTGGCCGTTTAACCCTGGATTACCCTGCATAGTAGTTGTCTAAGGAGTAAATTTTCCGGATAGATTCCTGAGCTGCAAGGAGTTGGCGACGTGAAGCTGTCGCGAGTTCATAATGAGCTGGGAATTTGGGATTTTTGTTACTATTAAATGGTTAAAATCCTATCCACCATAGTAATTTACAGGTCTGCAAAAATATGATCAGAAGTTCTCTTTTCTTTTTACAAAGATATCTTTGTTCGATACCTTTATCGGCAACTTCTCTACCTTTTTTTCTGGAATAATGAAAAATTTAAGCGGTAAATGCAGAAACTCCTCTGTAACTGACTGAAGGATGAAATTCTAAAAACCTTAAGCAACTAAAAAGCTTGCTCATCTAGAACTTGGAACAGCTCTTCATCCTGACTGTTGACAATGAAATTTTCAGAGGGCCTTGATTTAAAGGAGAGAACTAGATCTCTTAATCCTCAAATTCTAAGTATTTTGAGAAAACTTCTGAACGAGACAAAAAAATCACTTATGAAAATTTTCGTCTTTAGAGATTCTCCCACCAAAAATGCGGAAACAGTGTCATTGTCCAAATTTCAAGCGGAGCACCTTTTCAACTCCAAATCAATATGCGAGTGGATCCGAGATAGTCAAAACCCAAAGAATCTTAAAGAGGTGTAGTCGTGTATGTCATGCTAAGGAAATACGCGGTATGAATATTCGAACGTTGCCAAATTTCCCCGAATAAAACATGTATTTTTGAGAAAAGTTATGCGTATTTTTCCTTGAAAATTTCAGATGTTTTAGACTAAATCGTGAAAAAAATTGACTGAAAACTTTGAGGAAAAATATTCACGATTTTCTCAGTTAATTCGGCTTTTCGTGAAGTAAATATGGTAGCGTCTGAAGGTTCATACGGCGTTCTTCTTTAGGACGACAGTGTATGTTCGATCGAAGATTACAATAACTTTTACCTGCAAATCCTGGGAGCAAGAAACTAACTCTTTAAAATATTCGGGCCCGTCCGGGATTTGAACCCGGGACCTCCTGCACCCAAAGCAGGAATCATACCCCTAGACCAACGGGCCGCGATGTACGGTAGCACGAAATGCACTACAATTATACGGTACCTGCACACAAGCGGAATGCGTGCATGCAGGCGATGTTTATTGTTTTCACTTTCGCTTCTTCGAGGCGTGATTACGGCCGCAGCGAGACGAGCGTAAGTCCATCAACATTCAACGGTATCCAACGGTTGGAGAGGATTAGAGAGTCGTTATATACGGCCATCCGCGGCCGGTGTCATCACGGCTCGTTGGTCTAGGGGTATGATTCCTGCTTCGGGTGCAGGAGGTCCCGGGTTCAAATCCCGGACGAGCCCGCGAAATTTTAAATCCGGAAAATCATCAGAAATCACAATCGACATGTCGGAGAAACGCGGGTTATACTGAATTTTTCTTCGTTAATTTAATTTTCGACTCCATAAATTTTCATTATTGACCACGGTTTTATCCAATGACCTATTGGGCGGATTTTTATGATTATTTTGGTCAGTTGCTGATAATAATAATCTTAATCGGCGATTATTAACCATAGTCTAACATAATCGAGACTATTAGGCCTAAAGACCGAGGGCGAAGAAGATAAAGAGATAGAGAATAAGAAAGAAAAATCAATGATTGTCCCTCTTTTTTTTCTTTTCTTCTTCTTCTTCTTCCCATTTTCCTTCTGGTAAAAAGCTTATGATAGGAAGAAAAAGAAAAGGAGGTAGAGGACAAGACATATAGAGGGACGAAGGAGTGGGAGAAAAGGAGGAGGAAGAAGTAGGAAAATCAATACCGTCAATCTATCTGGAGCGTCGCCTTAGTTCAGGATCAATGTAGGTAATTTAACGCGATGCGTGAACTCGAGTGACACGGCGCTGGGAGATAACTATTTCGACACCTAAGATAGTTTGTTGCCTATGCGCAAATATGAAGGCGCACTGGACCTACACGCCTGGCATCTGCGTTTCTCTAGTTCAGAAGCAATGGATATTATATATAGGATGACTCTATTTTCTCTTCGTCTTCATTGTCTAGAGCTTTGTCTACCGATTTCAATAATCAGCCCGCTAGTGGCGCTAGTGGTCCATTGACCCATTTTCTTTTGGGAAGTTACTGCTGCTTTCACCTACAGGATCACTCTATTTTCTCTTCGTCTTCATTGTCAAGAGCTTTGTCTATCGACTTCAATAATCAGCCCGCTAGTGATCCGTTGTCCAATTTTCTTCCGGGGAGTTACTGCTGCTACCGATATGTCAAGCAGACAACGGAGACGTCCGAATTTAGACGGTAGGTTGGCGAACCGGGCGTTTCGGGCCGGTGACCATTGGGAGCGGCCTCGAGTGTCGGCGTCGGCTCCCGCACGTCAGGTTCGCCGGTCATCCGACGTCAAAGAGACCAAGACGTCGGCGTCGCGACGCCGCGCCGCAGTCGGCGGAGCTGGTACCGTTGCTTCCACCGCCACCACGTTGACGTCACGTCGCGCCGCGCGCCGTTTCCGCCGACGAGTAGCGTCACCGTACGTCGCTCGCGGTTCGAGTCTAAACGAATCCTAAGAGTACGTAGAGTCGTAATGTTAATGAGTCAGTTGCGCTGGTCTCAGGATCGTTTTTTGATGCTTGATTCTAGTAGATTAGCTAAAAATAGAGAGATCCGTCCAAACCGCAACTTCCTACGTTCAATATTAACCGAGATATCGACCTTTGAGAAATCAGGTTTTGGACGTCATCCACCGCGGTAGTAACACTCTAGGTTTCTTCCACCTTGCTTTCATCAGCAAGTGATGCACTGGTTTATCAACGTGAAACTTCAATGACAGGAAGGAACACAGTCATATTTTCAGCTTTACACTGGTCCGCGCGTTGCTTACATAGTGCACTTTTTATACTTCATGTAACATAAAGATTTACTATGTCCGTCTACGATGAATTAAGCAGTCGACTTGATTTGTCAATGTCACCGACTGGATGAAACCAAAAATTCCCAAGTTTAAACTTTGGTTGCTCCGCATTATTATTTCTTAAGGAGCTAAATATTCCATGGTCCTTTAATTCATTTTCTTTTTTTTTTACCTATTTTTGAACGGAATGCCAAAAAGTTCTTTCGAGGGCAAAAAATAAAGAAAGGACTTCAAAAAATTCCTCGCTACTATTTGACAGTTATCTAACCTGACCTTTCTTTGGTAAACTACATAAAAAAAATTAGAGATAAAAAATCTCAAGGATTGACGACACTAATAGAATTCGTTACACCACCTATTTCCTTCCAGGGTTACACGCAATAGGAACTAAAAAAGCAAATGGTTCGCAATTCATCGACTTTTAACAGTTTTATGGGGAGTCTCTGGAATATTTTTTGATATATATATTCAGGTCCTTAACTGCTTGCCGTGCTAAGGAAGAACGCCGCATGAGCCTTCAGACGTAGCCAAATTTCCTACGAAAAAATATGAATTTTCAGGGAATTCTGTGAACATTTTTCTTTGAATTTCATAAAAAAATTTAATTCACGACCAGATCTAAGTCATCTGAAAACTTCAAGAGAAAATATTCATATCTCTCCTCAAAAATAAACATTCTATCGGAGGAAATTTGACAACTCTCTGATGTTCATTCGGCGTATTTCCTTAGCACGGAAGTTTACACTGAAAAAAAAAATCTCGGTGTATTTACCAAGAAAAGGGTAACATTACCAAGAATTCAGGGTTTTATTTGATCCCAGTTTTTTCTTGGTAAAATTATCATTTATGGAATTGGTAATTTTACTGAACAATCTCGGTAAAATTATTGAACTTTCTCGGTAATTTTACTGGACCTTGGTAAAAACGCCAATATTTTTTATCGAATGTGGTATAGTATTACCGAGATAAAATGGCAAAGTTACCGGGAATTGATAACCAATATGAGTTGTATTCTTACCTGGAAAAAACAGTAAATAATACCTGTTTTTAGGTAAGCTTACCAGTCTGTCTTGGTAAAATTACCAATAATTGGTAAAAAAGTGAGATGGTAAAGGTACCAACGGACCTTCGTAAAAACGCCGACAATTTTTTTTCAGTTTAGAACTCCGTGAATTCCCGGGAACCATCCCCCTTATACCCTTGTTTGCTGAGAGAATCTATGCAGCACAGTTTTGGTGCTCATTTTGATAGCAATGCGAGTGGTCTTGAACATGTAAAACATAGATGAGGAGGTGGTTGAAATTATGGAGTCTCTTACCTTCAACGACGCCCGTGTAAGCTTTACCAGGATCAAAGGTGACCCTTCTCCCGTTGCTGGCTTCAAAGACGGCATCCTCAGCGAAGAGTCCGTGGTCGGGTGTCAAAACCAGGTTGAAAGTTCTGAAACAGACGAGATTAACTTTGAAATGCCACGTTTTATTTCGTTGTTTGACACGCGTGTCAAGTTCATAAGAACAAGTCGTTTCTAAAAGGGAAAAAGTTCAAATAATTGAAAAATCACTTTTTATTGAAAACCTCTCATTTAAAAAGGGTAACGTACCGACTGGGAGAGATTGCACTTTTCCTCCTCCCCAAAAAAAATCTCAAAAGTGCCATAGGATGGCTAAGGTTGCTTCACACCTTAAAAAAACTTTTTCAAGTTACAAAATAATGACCCTTATGACCCAAAGCGGTTCCAAGGACGATTGATATTTTTTGATGCAGAAAATTATAAAATTAGCTTTCAAATGGTCGTAACGCTGCGAATTTTTTGAAAGTTTGAAGTTCCTTTACGATTATACCTTAGGCCCCCAAAGAGCATATTTCAAAAGTTTTATTCAATAAAAGTTGCCCCTTAACTTTTCACCAGTTTTTCACCTTTCCTCAGAAATTGGAAAAGTTCTTCAGTGGTTCTCTTACCAGCAAACACATTTTTCCTACGCAAGATACTCTTTATAATACTTCCGTGCAAAGGAAGAACCCCGTATGAACATTTGAGAGTTGTCAAATTTCACCGGATAACAAATGTATTTTTGAAGAAATTTTTGTACACTTCTCCTTGAAATTTTCAGCAATTTTGAATCAAAAACCACAAAAAATTGACTAAAAAATACGAAGAAAAATATTCACGATTAATTGGTTTTTTATTTCAGGAGATATGGCAACGTCTGAAGGCTCAAACGGCGTTCTCAGCATGGCAAAATAGACCACAGTCGAAATGATTTCAGCAGAAAAAATCCCTCGGTCAAGTAATTTTGACAAAAAATCCGCCCGATCGAAATAATTTTTACAACAAAATAAATGTAGTCTACGTGATATTATAAACATTGCAGTGATTTACATAAAAATCAGTATGCGAGCAGTAAATCATACATTTACATCAAAATTAAAGCACTTGCATAGATTTCACGAGAAAAGACGCATTTCAAAACGCCGAGAGTGCGAATTATCGCGAGCAATGTGAGGCGCACCCACATACGGTATACATAGCGCCTTCAACATCGTAGAAAAACTTCAAGCACTACACCTTTGCGCACATACTTCCCGATGTGCAAATTGCCTATACTGCGCCTAGCGGAGCGCACACCGCTCACCCGCGATCCACGGATCGGGTGATCGAGCGTATTTTGCAAGCCCAGTTTTTGGACCTGTTACCTTATACAGGATGATCCAAAAGTCCCGCACAACCCCTATTAATCGTAGGGTTCTGCCTCTTTCAGGTCAAAATTATTCTATTAAATTAATTTAAATGTAGTCCACTTCATTTTTAAAAAATTATGTGTTGACTTGATTTTGTGAGTTTAAACAAATTTCAAATACTATTTTTAAATTTATATTTAACAGCGATATATAAATATTGTTAGATAAAATTTGACAGATTGTGGATTGTCAATTACAGAGCGGATTCCTCTAGTTAGGTTAAGCTACCGCCAAATGTTTTTTTTAAGATTTTCTTTTACTACTTTAATTATATTAATTTGTATGCCTGTTTCTTCCTTTTTTTTTTTTTTTTTTTTTTTTTGGGGGGGGGGTCCAATGGCGTTTCCTTCAGCCTCGGAGCACTCACCAAATTTCAAATCTCTAATTCGATTTCTTTCCGAAGTTACATGAGTGGTTGTACCTGATCAGGGCTCATTTCAGAATGGATATAGCCCCTTTCGATTAAAGTATGTCCAAATATGAGTCAATTTCAAACAATTAATGGAACGAAAAAAAACAATTGTTTAGAGAAAAATGCTTTTAAAATCACTATGCATGTAGTCACGATTAGATTTTACTCATCGTAAATAACAGTTTCTTTAATTTAACGGGACGAATAACCTCTTCGGTACAACAAGAAACTGCCAAGGAAAGTTGAATACCAATAAGAGACCACTGGATACTACACGAAATTAAGCATCACAGTAAATGGTTCATCAGCAAAATTTCACTTAAAACAGGTTGGACACATCAAAAGTTCCCAACTTTAACCCACACGTGAGTAATGAGCGCTATATGTACTTGACAGTTCTAACTTCTCGCTTGACGGTATGGGACACTATTGTCTACTGAAGTCAAGTCCGGGCACTAAAATGGTTTCAGAGTGTTGCGGTGAAGTAGTTTTCTCAGAAAGCTGAATTACTCTTTCAAAAAAAAATAAAATAAAATTAAAATAAATAAAATAGGAAATAAAAAACATCAGCAAAGGATTAAAGTGTGGGTGAGACTCAATTGTTTTTAAAGGTTCATTAGGGCCATGTTGACTTACATCTTTCGGAGGCGTCAATTTTAAAATTGACTGATTCTCTGGTACTAACCGAACATCATTTTTCTATTGTCAACAACAATTTCTGACTCGTCCGTTAAAACACTCATGTACAAAGGGAAACTAATGACACGTACGTTGTTTCTAAGCTGCGCCAGAAATTATAGTTCCGAATTACAAAATGTAGTTCAATTGCAACCGCTAATTTCTCTCGTAAGAATAAACTTTCAACATTTTCAATACATTCTTCATAAATAATTTTCAATGAGTTAAAATCCCCCTCAGTATTTAGATTCTTATCTGTCTAATGGTCTATCTTAGAAATAAATTCTAAAACTATTTTTTAAAGCCGCTAATTTTCATGGAAAACCAACGAGCTGGAGTTTTTAAGGTTCCCAGTGTTTCCAGTAAGTTTTTTGAATGGCGAGGCGTAAATGACTGATTATCGATAATTCGCAAATTTGAAGCTATACTAAAGAATCGATTATTAAGGTGTTTGTTGCGAACACCCTGTCTATAGATCCTTTTCTATAGATTTAAATGGAAGATTAATCGACACATCGCAAAGCCCGCCACGCCACTGTTTTGTTTGTCTCGGGAGAAAAGTCGGAGCTTTTTCAGCGCGAGAACTTTGAAAAGGCAGCCACAAACTTTCCAATCTGAGTCCACGGAATACAAAGCCGAGCTCACTTCTACGGATGCAACCGGCGGAACTTTTTTTCGCGGGATATCGCGTGAACTTACAGGGTTGCAAGTTTATTAAAATCTCAAAAATTACCTTACTTTCCTCTGAATTTCCCCGACTTTGCCGACGAAATCTCTAACTATGCGACAAATTTTCGCAATTTTTTGCGGCTCTTTACAAAAGTAAAATAAATTTGAAAAAAATACTTGACTACCTGAATACCTTCCCCTGAATAAGTTTCCTTGATTTTTCTTAGCTGTATCGAAAAAAAAGAAAAAAAAACCGCACTGACGACGAAGGCCGAAAATTTCTTATTCGTCTTTCATTGGTATTATCAAACGGATCTCGAGCCGCTTACCCCAAAATTTCCTAAAATTACACATTCAGAGAAAAAGAAATGGACTACATTCAGCAATTAGGCACTAAAATTTCTGGCTCGGTATAGAAACAACGTATGTACCATCAGTTCCTCTATGCCACATAAGTGTGCGCGGACCGAGAATCATTAGTTCATTCACGACTTTTAGTGGTGTTTCATATGAACCACGAATTGGTTTATAAAACCATAGATTTTTCTCCGTGTATAACAACCACCCGTTCCAACCAATAGGATCGCTCCATTGTCCCTTTGTCTTTCTTATCTATCGATTTTCATCAATTCCAGTAATCAGCGCGCGTCGACTTGAAGCCCCGCGAGGGTCTCCCGAGCCCCGAAAACAAGGACCCGCGCACCCCGCTCCGCCCCATCACGATAATTCGTCGCTCCTCTAACGAAAGGGCGTATCTTAATTTCCAAGTGAGCCCTATTTCACGTATAAATCAATGCTTTCTAGGGTTCATGCGGAAAGCGAGATGCGTCCTTACGTCAACCAAGCGACGAATTGTTGCGTCCCCGAGACAACTCCAAGACGGAACCTCTCTATCAACCGCTCCCTCGCGTCGAGCAGAAACGACGTATCCACCCGGGGTTTCCGTTGCGCGTTGCGCGGTTTTCGCTCGGGAGGCAGCGCTCATGATTCAATTTTCCACCGGGATTTTCCCGTCTTTTCTTCGCGGAACCCGCTCCGCTGCACACTGGACCAAATCAATAAGAGAAGTCGGACAAAACCTGGGAACTTTAAAAGCTTATATTTTCGAAAATATGAAACAAAAAAGTTTAAGAGTGATTTCATTGGTTTTTCCCCGAAATTTTCTTTCAGAGACACCCTTTGAAATTGAAATTGTGACGAAATAAACATCAAAATTTGGAATTTTAGCGGAAAATTTCATGTCCGACCTCTTCTATTATCTCGTTCCACTGTGCGCCGCAGCAGGAGTCCCCCGGCCGGATGGACAGATATTAGATTAGAGCAGATCGGATCCTTGAAATTCGAGGGGGGAGGGGGGGGCTGAAAATCCTGTGCGTTCCCGTTTCCCGATTTATATTTTTGTCATTTATTCTGGCTGTCCCATAAATTCACTGCCGGGCAATTGATTCGTTCTCAGACCTTTCCCCGCCGATTGTCTCGAATTTATGGCCCCTTTTCTTCCTCCACTCGATTGAGTTCTCTTTCTCTGGCGGATCGGTTTTGTTTTTTGTTTCTTTAATACTTTTTTCCGCTGGTCTGACGTATTAATTCATCCGTGCGCCGAGTCGGTCCTTCCTCGATTTTAAAACGAACGAATAGAGTTGGACACAACTGCCAATGCTGTCCTGCTCAACTTTCCGTAAGAAAATAATATTAAAAGAAGTAATAAAGATGTAATCACCGTAATTTACACCGTTTTCCAAACTTAACTTCTAAACTTCCAAACTTTCTAACGTTAAAAAATTCAGTCTTCCATATTACCCAACTAATTCGGTTCGTCGAACTGAGTTTTCGGTTTGTCAAACTGAACTTTCGGTTCGTGTACTCGAACTGGTGCGGTATATATATCTGACGAAAAAAGTTTGGTCAACGTTCGGTTACACGAACCGAAAATTCAGTTTGA